CATGATTCCCTTTTTATTATAATAGATATTTATGGGTATTCTGTTGGGTTTTTCTTGTGTTTTCATGGCGCGAATGTTCAAACCAATGAAACAACTGAAGACCAGCAACGATGGAGAATGAATGGAAACGGAAGAGTTTTTGTCTATGGCTACTTTGTTTTTCGTTTATTTTTTTATGTACTTTTGCCGCTTTCAAAGATAATGTAGAGGAATGCCACCGGCAAAAACCCAATAAAATTCAACACAATTTTGCGGTCAACAAATTCAAGGGAAATGAAGAGAGTGAGTGGGCAGGCACAAAGAGAGAAAGAGAGTGAGCAGAAAAAAGGAGCACTTCATTAATGTTTATTCATAACATTTAAGCGGTCGACTACGTATACAAACCGCGATGAATTATCGCTTTTTGTTGTTGCTGCTGCTGATTTTTCTACTCCTATCTGTATCATGCTTGACCGACTGGAAAAACTGAAGTCAAATGGAAATTAAGTGGATGGCATTTTTCCTGGACGGAAGCATTTTAAATGTGTCCTGTGTCGTAAAATTGTGAAATAATTCGAATAAAATTGAAAAGGATTCTACAGCAGGAAGAGGAAAAAAAGAGATTGAATGACCATGGAATAGAGGCGTTCATCTACGAGAAAATTTGGTTTCTGTTCATAATGTGATGACCTCGAGTAAGAAGACCAGTTCATTGAAATGAAGAATGGTGTGAAGCTCAGAGCTTCACATTCCACTGACGTTGGAAATACTTTTGGTTTTTCGCTCTGTAGATAAACGGTAAAAAACGTTTGAAAAATCTCGTTTTTATCAAATTTTTCAGGTGATGCACTTTTTCTTTTTTTTTATTGCTGAAATGAAATTCGGTTCGAAATGATTAATTGAAATTCCGTATTGACTGTGCAGTGTGCACTCTCAATGGTTTATGACTTTGTTGGCAATTATTTCATTTATCCTAACTGCCCGCCGGGAAATTCACGAGCATAATAAGAGATCAACAAAAAGAGATACGATGTGTGCGTGCCTTTATAAACGGTGAGAATTAAAATGAAGAGCGATGAAAAAAAGAGAGAAATAAAATCTATTTCATAGAAACAGATAAAAATCCATTCTACGACATTTCTCTCACAATCTCCATCCAGCTTATCTACGTATCCCATCCCGTGAGCATTCGTTATTTACGTTTTGTATTGTCGTAATTTAATTTGATGTTTTATGTCTCTTTTTCGACATGATTTTTTATTATATTTGCGCTACAACGGTGTATTTGCGTTGAATGAATTTTATTCGCACCTTAACGAACCCCCATGAAGATATGCGCAAGCCGTATGTGTGCTGAAATCACATCGTTCGTCCATCCAGATTGCTTTTTATTTTATTCTCATGAAATTTTTGTTCATTGTCATTTTTGCCACCATGCTCGAAAATATTTTCCATTTTCAATGCGACGCATTCCATTTTAATGGCCATCCATTTGGAACTGTATCCAAAATTGTACACGTGATAAATAAATATTCGATGGAAATTGAATGAAGTTATCAAAAATTTACTCGAGCTACGAGTATCGAAAAGTGACGCTTTGAACGTGATAATAAAATGTTTCCGCAGTACTTGTTGCCTGCTATCCAAGTGCCGTTGCCATTGCAGTGCTTTTTCAGTATGTGTGTATGTATTGAATATGTCACAAATTTTCAGTGTCTCTCTTGTAAACACTTTGACTGTTTTGATCGCAACGAGCTGTCAGTGTGAAAATAACTGGAAAATCATATTTTACTGTATTGCGGTTAATAAAACGTTAACAGCACTTGAAAACCGTACCCACAAACGAATTCCCCAAAATATACACATTCGCTCACTTTTTCCATCCAGGGGAGTAGATCACAATCATGTGTGGGTATATCAACGATGGCTGTGAACGCATCAAACCAAACAAAGCTCTACACATATGATAAGTATTCGCAGTTTTTCTACAATGCCATACACATTTTTTGTTTTGCTTGCAAAATACATTGAAAAATTATATACATAATTTATATTCAGCGCAAGAACGAAAAGAAAAACAAAACGTAAACAAAACCGATCCGTATTCGATACCGGCAAAAATGAAAAACCAAATATAAAAAAACACCATACACACTATAATAAGCATTTTTACCCACCAAAAAAATGTGGCATGTAGCAACAATTTTGCGGCAAAATAATTGCTATTTATAAATGTGAGAATAATTTATATGTTCGAATATGTATGAGGCATTTTGCAGCGTTTTTAATGGATGCTGCTCCTGCTGCTGCTGCTGTTATTATTATTATTATCGAAGTGAAAATGTGCGTGGCAGACGCATGCAACAATGGCAAATAAAAGTGAACACGTCATTTTATGTTTTGCAAAATGATGGAAAATGCTCTGGCAAATGACATGATAATTGGGCAACTAGCATGAATGGAACGAGTATTTCTAAACTGGCAATTGCTATGGGAGGATGGAAATACGTGCGATATAATTCAATGATTCCCACCGAAACTTCTCGAAATGTAAAGTTTACCTTTTATTTCATAAGATTTGCCACAATCTTCAAAACCAAAGTTCAGTGTGCATTTCTACTAATCAACTCGAGTACTCGTTAGTGGTTAATGTGGTGCACAACAAACATATATCTAGTCCCTTTCGCCATTTTTTTTGCTTACTGTTGACACATAATTTAATTCAATGATTCCACTCAAAAGAGTGCAAGCACGGAAGCTTTCGCAAAATGCTATAAATAAATAGCACAAACGTAATCGTTTTTTATCTTCAGTTTTTGCATACTGCACGTCAAAGTGTGTATGTGTGTCTGTGAACCATGAGATCCGCATTTTTCCGCGTGAAGAATTATGAATGAGGGAATTGATGGTGGGGCAAAAAAAAACGTGGCACTACTAGAAACACATACGCAGATTAAATGCAGTAAACAGTTCCCATGTCACGACGATGACGACCTCGGGTACAGAAAAAGGTGGAAAATTAGCCAGTTTTCCGGACAGACCTTTCAAGTACACACTCACACATATCCACACAACAAAAGCGACTCAATCAGGGAATTTCCATTCATTTTCGATGTCATTTGAAAATGCAGAGCGAGCGGCAAAAAGTAGGTAATGACAAAAGAGAATCAGGAGCTTGTCAACTGATGAATGGTGCATGGTGATTGTCGTTGAACGTGAGGCGATGCCGTGCTTTTGATGTGACTTTTTCATTAAATAGTTGAAGCAAATTACTAAAACCAAACAAAACAAACCGTATGTATTTATTGAAAATTGTGCACACACACACACACTCGCACACATAATGAAACAGTACGATACTAGAGACCACATGTTCGAGGCTTTCAAAGCTGCTTCCTTTTATTAGATGCACATTGTTTGCATTTATACAATGCATACTAAATACAGATCAACATGTTTTGGGGTGTGCTATCTGTGGAGTATCGAACTGAATGAAAATCATGAGCAGAAAATGTGCATCATCTCTCACATTGATCAACCGAAATTTTTCGAAGCGAACAGTTGTTGGTATTTGATAAATTTTCACCGCATGCGTCCATTGCTGAGGCAAAAGGTGACCATAATTTATCGGTAAACGTGTCCAGCAGTTTGCGATATATAATGCAGTTCTGAATATAAGCACAGCAAGCAATAATCCATAGAAGACAACAATAATCGAACTGCATTTGATGATAATGTTGCCGTTCATTTTGAATGATTTTTCGATTTAACCTTTTTTCTCTCATGTTTCGTTGTTGTTCTAGGACATAAAATTCTACAATCGAATGGTGTGTAGTTATTGTGAAATGTATTGCCACAATAGAAAAACATTTCATTCGAGACTTTTTTCCATCTCTCTATCCCTTTTTCTCTCTCTCTTTCTCTCTCTCTATCCGCGTTGTGAACCAGTGAACCGTACACAGAGATGGCCTGCACAATGCTGGCACACATTCAACACAAAATGAAGCAACGACCAAAAAAGCCAGCAACAATAATGAGCAATGTCAGCATACGACAGCAGCATCGATACCATCACATGCCGAACGATCAGCAACACAACAGGCCATTATTGTAGCAACAGAATATCTATACCACAGGAATAACAAAAGGGAAAAATGCAGTACCGATTCGTACTTGCTCTTTCCATTTCATTCTCCATCTCGGTCGTTCCACGGGTTTCCAACATGTACTTGACAATGCATACAAACACACACATACATAATCATAGCGAAAATGCTGTACGACGCTTGAAATTTAACAATCAAGTCAATTTATTTTGTTTTAAGCGTTTACATTGCATCGCTAGTAGTCCACTCGAAATTGAATGCACCGGTTTTCGGTTCGCTTGCATGAATTTAAGCCCATCCAATGCGCGTTCACGATATGTATGTATGAATCTCAACGGTCTATCTTGATTTCTATCGATGTTGTCGAACACGCAAACAAAATGGGCACTTGAAACTCTCTGCACAACTCTGCTATTGCACAAGTAGCAACAATAATGCATTTGCTAAATAGATAACATTCCCGTTTTGATGGCAATTCAAATAAAAATTACGGAGAGATAACGTTCGAAAATCCCCCACTCTTGTAACAGTGAACTAGTGAAACAGTTTGGTTTTCGATAGAGAGGCTTGCGTTACTACCATCGCAAGCGTTTGCTACCAATTTTGACTACCATTTTCGTGTTGCGACACTTGCGTTCGTTCGAAACGAAAATGCGTTTGATTGCGAAATGCTTGCGTTCCATCGCAGCAATGTTGTGGGGCTTGCGTTTGGTTCTCCTATAGTTTCTCTCTTTCTCGATTGCAACATCCATAAGCACAACATATATCTTGTTTGTTTGCACGCCAGCTCAACCGCAAGCATATTGCGAGAATCATGCGCTGCACGCCTTAAACCTGAAACTCAACGCTCCGTATATTCCTCTCGTACTGAAATGTTTGACACTGTTCATAGCACGGATGCTGTATTCAAAAACCAGTTTGAACAAAAGCGTAGCAGGAAACACTGTCGTTCAACTTTTGTCTTCGTGAACTTCGTGGTTATTCACGTAATTCGATACCCACTATCAAATGAACTGTGATCAGAAAGGCACCAAGTTCAATTCACGGTTCTTAGAATTGTCAGTTGGATCAAGCAAAAGTTTAACTAAGCCAATTTTTCCGCGAAAAAAATTTATTCTCCGTTCTAAATCAAAACTTCAGCACAAATAATGTAAAGCATTTTTTTCTTCTGCGAATGAAAAAAAAAGGTAGAATTCCATGTGATTTTTTTCTCTCTCATTTTGTTCACGCAAAAAGTTCGAAAACCAGTGACATCTCTCAATATATCAAAGGAATTTTCAAAAGCCGTTGAAGTGTCGTTTTAAACAATGCGTATCGAAAGTTGGCTAAAACTTTTATCCCGCTGTCGGTGAAATCGATGGTGTTTTGTTGTGTTCGTTGTGTTTTCTTTCTGTCGCTCTTTCGCGCCGTTTATCTCTCTGTGCAATATTGAATACATTTCTGTGTTTCTGTGTGTCCCACTTTTTGTACGATACTCACATTATTGGTGGCTTTTTGAACCACATTCGGATTATTGTCAATAATCCATATACGCGTAATTGTGTCGGATTGTCGTATTGATTTGTGCTCTGTTGAGCACACGGAGAGCGAGCGAAAGAAGACGAAGAGAGAGCAAGTGAACGGGATTTGTGTGTTATCATTATTTGAGTAAACAATGGGAATCGGAGGGGATTGAAACAAAACAACAATCCCAGTAGCTTACTTTTCTACATTGGATTTAATGCATAAACGCTTTAGTGCGGATTTATTAGTGCTCTCGAGAGTTGAAAACAATATTTATGTGAGTCTTTTATCGCTAAATTATTCGCATGCATAATATAGTGATGATGTAACATTCGATTCATTTACAACGATTTATATACCGAATTAAAAAGGCATGCGAAGAACAAAACGTTTGTGAAAATCATAGACCGATAAGTGTGAACAAATTAACAACAAGTACAACGACAAAACTCAAACGTATAAACAGCGAAAAAAAAATACATTTATCGCTGTAAAAACAGTAATCAGAGCATAAAAAGTTTTGACTAAGCTGATTTCGAATGGTAATCGCTATAGTATTATTTTGTGGACGTGGAAAAAAACAGTAATTAAAATTGCGCCAATTTTGATTAAGTTCAGTGACACGGCAAAGGCGGAAAAGTACCAAATACGCACCATTGCCAAATAAAATCAAAAACTTTGAATCTGTGCAAAATCTCGGGTGTTGAGCGTGAAAGGAAAAAGGAGACATTAATCGCGAAGTAAACACTTTAAATTGAATTTAATCCAAAAATCGCTTGTGTTTATAGATAGAGAGAGAGAGAGAAGGAGAGACAGAGGGACACAGTTACAGCAGACGCATGTGATTAGAATAATTACAATATTATTAATTCAACGATCCGAAGCGCTGTCTCTTCACTCTCTGTCGTAAATGTGACGAAGCGGTGTCATTTTCAAATAGATAAACTCGGATGGTCTTATGAAAAAGGAACCATATCGTCGCACGCATCCAAGAAGTTGAGAACAACGAAACTGTGTCGCACAGAACAACCACGGATTATAATTAAGTTTTACAGTTCAGAGATATTAGCGCACCGGATTACAGGCATTCCTTCAACGTCGGATAAAAGTTTTTCATTCTACAAGTAACACACACACACACACACACATACCCATACACTTTAATCCGCGGCATGAATAATATTCAGCGACTCGCAAGTAATATGGATATTTCGTGAACAGTTTCGGATCGCATACCGCGTTTGTGTTGTGTAACGTGAAACTGTCTAATGAAGAACGATTCAATCAAGAGAACCTTTCACTTGGTTTAGTCTATAATCACATCTAATACGTATTAATTAAAGCGTGGTATTGAAAGCAACACCCGAAATTGATAACACTGATTGAAACCAAATCGGAAACGGATTTGGACTGTGACGAAGGCAACGAAGAAGTGAGAAAGAGTTTTTTGTGAGTGGGAACTGAAAACAATTATCTGTGCTGCCCACGATACAATTCAAGTGGTTATTGTTCACAAGCGATTCAAGTGCTTTTATTTTGGGTTCAACGGTCTACGGTTGACTTCATCAGCAGAAGCAGCAACATCAGCAGCAGCACTAACACTGATATGTAAATGGTAAGAAGACAATTTAATTGAAATGTTCACTTTTTCCTGCAGATTATTATTACTTATTCGTACGTATCTGCATTTCTTGTACGAAACAATCTTCTCTCTTTTTGGTCGCCGTTGACACCGAATGTAATATGCATTTTACCAACAATGACAACGATCCGCACACTGTGCATAATTTGACAATTTCATTTTTAATGCTATGTGACACCGCCATAATTCAACGCACCATTCGAATGAATAATAGAGTGCATGCAAGATAGGGGAACAGTATATATATATATATATATATATATATATATATGCAACGATGAGTTTGCTGTTAAACATTCAAAGGTCCAAAACGAATCACGTCTCTGCCACATGAAATGCGTTCGGAAAAAAAGGGTTTTTGCTTTCATCTGCTTCGGTCTCGATTTTTTTTTTTTCAAACCATTTTTCAATTTGGTTTGCGGTTTGCATTGCATTTGACCTAGTTGTATGTGTGTGCATACGGTGTAAATTGAATTTATAAGCGACGCTATGCATTTTATGTGGACGCACATAAGATATGCACATCTAAACCCCTAACGATCATATTGCGAAACAATGATGTATCACATGTGATGCGATAAGCAACACGATATATCCAAAAACGTCTGCCAACAAATTATGATATGGTTAGCATTTTTGTCATGGACATTTACTCGGTGTGGGCTTGCAGAGAGAGAGAGAGAGAGAGGGAGAAGACCCATCCAAATAAAAATTACAAAAAACATCATAAAATTGCCAGCCAAAACAAAAATCGACCAAGAAAATAAACAATCACAGTGTGGCTAAGAGTGGGCAGAATTGTGTACAAAATTACCGTTATTTGGATGATAACAACGAAAAGGATCGTAAATAATGCTGTTGTAGTTTGTAGATGTTTTATTTAAAGTGGAAACACAACGATGTGAACGAGATGATGGCAAGCCACGGCAAGCAAACAATGCACTATGCTAAACGGGAAAAAAACATCGGAGGAAAAAACAGACACGATAAAATACCCTCAAGATATTTACAAGCCCCGTACAATATGTGAGAAATGCATGTTGTCTCGGTGCCCACGGTTTTTAGTGTAGGTTTGCGCACAGTTTTTCTCTGTATTTTTTATTTGCTCGTCGAGTGTTGCGCTTTTAGCCATCACATCAGGCATACATGTAACCACTAGATTATCTTTTTCTCGGGTTTTGTTCATTTGAACCCGTGAGCATAAAAACAACGTATTGACTCTTCGCCGATGAATACGAAACGCAAAAAAATCGCCGAACAAAGTGAAACACCAATCTGTTATTGGATCAATATGAAGCATGAAATCGTTGGCTACTATTTTATTCACGTTGCGCTTTGTTTCGAAGCGCGGCAAGTGTTTCATTTTGTTCCAGTAACAGAACGTTGTATCACTTTGTTCGGCGACGCGCTCAATGTACTGTTTTGGAAAAATATGCATGATTTGATACAGTTTTGAGTCCATTGGTATATTAAACTATTCATTTTAACACAACACCCATTCTATTTCGCTCACACTTACGCGCACTTTAACGTTGCTGAAACATGTACGTTCTTGTTTCTTTACTGCGCACATCTTTTTAACAGTAAAGCAGACTACTTTTTATACGGGTAAAAATTGCACGTAAGTGTGAGCGAAATAGAATGGGTGTTGTGCGTCCGTGTTTTGGCCATGTATAGATTTCACTATATAAACCAATGTATTCACAGCGGCGTGAACCCGCGTTCCGAGGATTTCATACAAACTTCCCATGTAGACGATCCGAAATAGGCAACAGTCGAAAAAAAAAGTTTAAATTTTTTTTCGATTTTCATATAGTATTTTTTTCTGCTCTATTGGTGTTATCGGCACATCGAAATTCGCGCTCCTTATCAGTTAATTTTCACTTCATAGACAAATCACGACCAAAACCACCATTAAAATGAATCATCATACCAATGGACTCAAAAGTGTATCAAACATTTTTGTTTCAATTAAATTGAAACACAATTTCTATAGTCAGCCGATATTTCACGATTCACTTTCAAGCGAACAGAATTTATGTTGCACTCGCACAAAACTGTATCAAATCATGCATATTTTTTCAAAACAGTACATTGAGCGCGTCGCCGAACAAAGTGATACAACGTTCTGTTACTGGAACAAAATGAAACACTTGCCGCGCTTCGAAACAAAGCGCAACGTAAATAAAATAGTGGCCAACGATTTCATGTTTCATATTGATCCAATAACAGATTGGTGTTTCACTTTGTTCGGCGATTTTTTTGCGTTTCGTATTCATCGGCGAAGAGTCAATACGTTGTTTTTATGCTCACGGGTTCATTTGTCGTACATATTTCGTCGGAAATTCATGCATCCATTTATATTCAATGGTCGACTGTAAAATTATTATTATGAATGGATTTCCATAAGCGTTTGCTCACCACTCCCCGGCCGGTCACATACGATGACTTTTTCGTGGTTAAGACAGACATAATACCGAGTTTGGTTTTATTAAAAGAAAAACAATAATTTTTCATACATATTTATTCTTGGTTCACTGTTTCAAACTATAAAAAAGTGATCGCTCGCTAATTCCACAGCAACTGTCGACGATGTCTGTTTAATGCAATGGCACTGTCCGTCCCCGGAGATTTTTTTTTCAGAATATTTTTTCTGCAAAGAAATTCTTGCGAGCAAAAAAAAAAAATGATTCCGTCGGCTGTGCGGCCGATCCACTTACATCTTATTTCGGCATAGTAATAAAAATAGTCGGTTTTTATGTATACCATACCAGTCATGAATCACAAGTTGTGATTTATTCATAAAAATAAAATGAACAAGAAAGAACAAAGCCGAATTTTCAATATCTGTGACAAAGTCTAAAAGGTCCGAACGAAATGAGAAGAAGAAAAAATGGGAGATCAGCAGTGAATTTGGGTTACAATAAACGTAAAAGATGGATTATGTATTGAAAAAGGGTAAATATGAGAATATCGAATTATGAATGCGAATGTTGCGAACGAGCGAGTCTCGTACGAATTTCCATCTCTCTCTCTCTCTCTGTGTGTGTTTTTTTTAAATCAAAATAAAACGATCTAACGAGATAAAATTGCATTATGTTGGTGGTACGAAACGTGTGGACATGTCAACATATTTTTGTGTGTGTATGAGAGTGTGCGACAAATGGCATCGCATCTGGTAAACATTGTTTATATGAAAACCAACATCGACTAATTCGTTAACTAGACAAAGTTTTCTGTACACGCATCGCAACATTGAATGCTCTGCAGAGAGAGAGAGAGAGAGAGAGAGAGAGAGAGAGAGAGAGAGAGAGA